ACCTCTGAGACCCTCTGGTCCAGGGGGGTCAGTGGGGGGCCGCCCTGGAAGCTGAGCAGAACCTCAGACCTGATCTGGGATCATCTGGTTTCTGGTTCTTTTGGTCCCGCAGGGTTCTGGACCCGGTTCTCTTTAGATCCAGGTTCTAAAAGGCCACGATGGCCCGGGTCCAGGCTCCCAGGCTGGCCAGCGCCTGTTTGCTACAGATCTGCTCCAGGTCCGCCTGCCGGCTCAGCAGACCCGAGAACCCGGACCCGAAGATGGAGATCAGGTTGGAGATGTTGGACGCGTCCGTGAAGTCCGGGTTCRGCTCGGGACCGTCCACCCGTCTGAGCCGCTTTCTGGGTTCCGTAAAGTCCGAGACCTCCTCCTCCGGACGGCTGAAGTCCCCCTTCCGTTTCCGAGCCGCCGGGTCCGGACTGTGGAGGTCCCGGTCCGGGTCCGGGTCCGGTGCGCACTGCGGCGCGGCGCAGCAGCAGTCCTGGTGCAGGAAGCCGTTGTCCACCGTGGTCACCAGGTGCGTGTCCAGGTCCAGCACCGTGGTCCTGTTGCAGTGGGACACCGGAGCCTCCATGCAGCAGCTCCGGTAGTCCGGAGGGTCCGGGACCGGGTCCGGGTCCTTCCCGCAGCACGGGAGAGCCGCCCTGCACGCGGACGCCTCCTCGCCCGGCTCCGCCTCCTCCTCCGGGTCCAGGTCCAGCGGGTCCAGCTCCTGGATCTCGTTGCAGACCGTCAGGACCTCCTCGTACTGCTGCCTCCGGTAGATCTCGGCGTACCTCTCCTTCAGGTAGACCTGCCGCGCGTCCCGGAGCACGAAGGAGACCAGCAGGTTCTTGTGCAGCTTGATGCCCCCCCTCTGGGTCCGGGACTTCTGGATCTTCATGAGGGACATGGAGATCAGGCTCTGCGCGTCCACGCCGCACTCCATGGTCCCCCCGGTCCTCCTGCACCCAGCTCCTGTCCGGGTGAACGGAACCCGTCAGTGATCCGGACTCTGGTTCTGGTTCCAGTCAGCTGTGGGAGACTACATGGAGCCGCTGAGGACCAGGACTCGTTCCAGCCCCTGTGAGCTCACAGAGGCTTTATAAGGACCTGCAGAGCCCGCCCCCTGTCAGGACCGACCAATCAGCGGCCGGAGCTCCTCTGATTGACAGCTGCAGGCTCAGAGGAAAGGTTCGTTTGGACCAATCAGCTTCAGGCGGCTCCTCTGAACTTTTCAAATTCCAGCTGGAGGAGCAGGACCGGTTCTGAGACGGTTAGATGGTTCTGTTCACAAACACACTTTAAGACTCGGTCCGAACACAGAACCGGTCCAAACACACAGGTTTAGTTTCTGTCAGACTGAGGACTGATGGTGGTCCATGAATCCTCGGACCAGTCTTTCTGGACCAGCTGTTTAACTGACAGGTGCTTCAGCCAATCAGAGCGACAGACTGAGCACAAAGTCCCGCCTCTTTTCACAGAACTTTACCTGATCAAAGAGTTCAAAACAGGTTTTTATTCAAGTTCAGATGTGAAGAGACCCCTGAAGACCCCACCCCCCAGTCTGAAGACCCCCCAGTGGTAATGAGGTCCCTGCAGTACCTGGACCTGCAGTACCTGGGTCTGGACCTGCAGTACCTGGCTCTGGACCTGCAGTACCTTGCTCTGGACCTGCAGTACCTGGGTCTGGACCTGCAGTAACAGGTCTGGACCTGCAGTAACAGGTCTGGACCTGCAGTACCTGGGTCTGGACCTGCAGTAACAGGTCTGGACCTGCAGTACCTGGGTCTGGACCTGCAGTAACA